CGAATCCTAACCTTGATGGCTTGAAAAACTTACTGGGCAGGTATGTGTATGATGAGAAGAAATAGAGGGAAAACTTATGATATGATCATGCCCCATTGGGGGGTACTTCTCTTTATTGTGAGCATACACACCCCCTAGCAGTTTAAAAAAAAAAGTTTGTGGAAAAGTAAAATTAAAATATGAGTTTATTTTGGCATGAAAATTTTATGAAATCCTTGCACAATTTTTACGTAACATTCCATGAAATTTTCAGCCAGACCCAATACATGAAGTGGTAGAATATAGCTTCAAAATAGGCTGCAATAAATATTTATTAGGATTTCTGATTCTGGGAAGATGGACTATACATATTTTTCTTTCTTTCCACCTTTTTTTTTTTTTTTTTTTTTGAGAGGTTTTTGCCATAGGGCACGCTCTCCAGAAAAACAGACTGAGAGGCAAAAAGAGAGAAATCACTCCTGGGGTGGAAGTGGGGGATGGCAATGCCAAAAGCCCTTCTCCTCCATTCTCCTCTCAGGATCTTGGGCATGCACACACATGCACACACATGCGCCTGGGTGAGTTTAAGTCACCCGGTCTGGGACTCGAACCATGGTCAATTACATGGGAGTCCAACGACATAGCCATTATGCCAATTCTGGTCCCGGAGGGCTTTTCTTACTTCTACATCCAAAAAAAGTCCTGGTCACTGTATATAATACAATCATAAGAGAACTCTGAACAGTAAAGAGATAAGTCAGACAGGTTTGAGACTTTGAAACTCAAAAGAATGACACAGAGCTGGTCCCTGGGTTTTCTTTTGCCTAATGTACGTCAGATTTGGAAGTGAAAAAACTGGCATCTCAGAAATACCAATAGTTACAGACCAAAAAAGTCCCAAAGAAAGCCTGTTTTCTCTGTCCAAAGGACCTCAAGGGGAAGACTAGCGAAACAAACATTTTAAATATAATAATATCTATTCCAACCAAATACCTCCCCAGAAAAAACCTGTGACACCAACTGTGCCCATGTCAGCAAAGGGGTGAAGAGTGTAGAGTTTCACCTCACTGGGGTGTAATGAAGTCCCTAAGCTCCCAGCACACTGGAGTCAGTGAAGGCTGTGTAAGAAGCAGGGGCTTTCATCCCCACTGCTTGGTAAAGAGACCAGGCAGGACTCCCATTAAACCTGTCACATGAGGCCGTGGCCAGCTGTCTGTGGCTCTTTTACCTGTAAAATGGGTGATCATTCGTGTTATGAATGATGCTTGGAAGATCAGGTTCCATTTTTGAACAAAGAATACATATAAGGAAGGAAGGAAATTAAGGACTAATGTCTCTTAAAAGAATACAGAAGCAAATATCTTTAACAAAAGGATTCAATAATATGTAAAAACAATGATATGGCATAACCAAATTGGTTTATTTCAGGAACTATAAAGCTGGGGTGATATTTGAACATCAATCAATATACAAAATTAACATTCTGAGAAAGAACAATGGCACAATCATGTCAATTGATAACTAAAAGCATTTGAAAAATTCAACACTCATTTCTGTTGAAGAATAAGAATACAGGTGACCTTTCTTAACTTGATAAAAACCATCTACAGGGGCCAGCAGGTGGCCTAGTGGTTAAGGCCCTAGACTCCCACATGGACAACTGTGGTGGTTCAAGTCCCAGACCTGGCAGCTTGGTTTCTAACTTTTTCTCTCTCTCTCCCACACATACCCTATAGAAAAAATTAAAAAATAATAATAAATAAAATAATAATAAAATGAATATTTTTTAAAAATCTATAAAAATAAGGAGCTAACATTATGCTTAATGGCAAATGACTGTTTTCTCACTAAACTGAGAACAAGGAAATTAAAAAAATCCTCTCTCACCATTTTTTCAACATTTCATTGGAAGTTGAAGCCAGCATAAAAAGCCAAGAAAATAGGGGGAGAAAACAATCATTTAAAAAGAAATAAACTGTCTCTATTCACAAATGACATGATTGTTTACATAAAAATTTCCAAATACTTACAAGAAAATGAACTAAAATAAGTGAATTCAGCATGATCATAGAACACAAAATGTAACATACAAATTTTAGTTGTATCTAAATATTAGAAATTAACATGAAGGCAGAGAAATTGAAATCTTAATCCTATTTATAGTCACTAAAATCATTAATATCCTTTGGTGTAAATCCAATAAAACATGTATAATAGCTTATATGCTGAAATCCACAAAATACTGATGAAAACAATTAAGATATAAATATATCTAGAGGTATACTGTGTTTATGGTTTTAGAAACTCAAAATAATAAAAGATGTCAATTCACCTCAATTTTATATGCTTATACAAAAAGTAACTAAAAACAGTTTATGAATTTAACTGTAAAATATTAAGTTATAAAACTTTTAGGAAAAAAATAAAAATTACTTGTGATCTAGTGATCAGCAAAGGGAGCATAGACTTGACACTAAAGCATAATCTATATTTTAAAAATTGATAAATTAGACTTTTAAAAAAATTTAAAATTTGCTTGGAAAATTTTCCTTTAAAGTGTTGGAAATATAAATTGAAGATGAGGAGAACAGATTTTCAAATCAGATGGTTGATAGATAGATGATAGATAGAGGATAAGCAAAGATAGATAAAATACATAAAAACATTTCATTACTCAATAGGAAAAAAAATAAAATGGTTAAAGATATGAGAAGACATCTCTGAAGAAGATATACAGATGGAAAACAAGCACATTAAAAAGTTGTTTGGGCCAGACCCATAGCAGTGGTTAATAGAAGCAGAGGGAGTTGGATTCCCCATGGCTAAGTACAGTTCGAATCCTAGTCCTGGTGGCTTGAAAAATAGGCTGCACCCATGTGCTTGTGTGCCAGTACCCTGACTACTACACCACCTGCTGATCCCTGGTTTCATTTATATATGAAAAGAAAATGACCAAATGATAGAAATGGCGAGCAGATCAATAAGAGGCTGAGGCCAGCAGATGGTATGGCAGTTATTATCACTGGACTCCCATGTGACTGACAGCAGTTTGAGTCTCGGACCCAGTGACTTGAACCCCCGGGTGCATGCACGTGTGTGCCTCCATGTGCATTGCCCAAGATCCCAGGAGGAGAATGGAAGAGAAGGGATAGTAGCATGGCCATCCCCCACTCCCGGGAGGGGAGATTTCTCACCTTTTCTCTCATTGGCTCTGTCTCTCTCTCAGGCGAGTACACACACCTTAAGGCAATAATCTCTACAAAAGTTTAAAAAGTAAGTGTAGAAGGAGTTGAATGAATAGGTAGATATGAATGTAGAAGTCAAATTAATAGGAAGACAATAGAACAATATTACAGATTTTGGCAGTAATCGTTCCAAGTGAAATAAATTCTATAAAAAATGAGTACATAGTATATAATTCCATTTATGTTACTTGGGAAGAAATGCAAACTAGTACACAGTCATAATAAAAGAGCATAACAAAGGAGGTCTGAGGCAAATGGGGCAAGGGGGAGGGATTACATAACGTAATGAAGAATCTCTTGAAGGTAATGCATACATTTATTATCTTGATTATCAATATAGTTTATGATTGCATAGATACATCAAAACTTATCAAATGTTATGTATTATATATGATGTATTATATATCACATATACCTCAATAACATTGATACAAAATATTATATAATTTATATGATTTATATCACATGGTATTATGACATAATATGCTAATATATGTCATGTATATTATATGTTATGCATACATCAATAAAACTAAATACACACATACATACGTACATATTCTCTTAGATTATTGAAGTAGCAGTAAAGTGGAAAGGTTGTGGCTAGGTCTAAGTTTGCCTTGAAAAAAGTTTTACATGGTTTAACCTGGGCCTTTTGATAGCCCCAGGGTATAGGACAATGTGAATTGAGAGAAATCCTTCAGAGCAGTTAGTTCTCTAAACAGATTTCTCAGCTACGATCTCTTGTTTATATCTCACTAACATATTCAATGCCATCCCCATCACGTCATAAATGCTCTTGCCATAAAATCTTATATCCTCAAATAAGAAAAATTGATAACTAATAGATAAAGAATAGCTTTTCTTCTTGAGCTTCTTCACATTTCATCAAAACCACATAAAATGGTGTTTCAGATGCCTCAAATCACTTTTAGGTGCCCAGAATAATATTTAAAGTCTTTTTAGGCCCTTTTTATGCAATGTGTTGTATCCTTTCACTAAATAATGTTATGCACTTTAAATAATAATATACATTCAGTATAAAAGGGAACAGAGATAGTAAACCTTAAGTGATTTTAAGCAATTTTAAATGCCCCTAAATTCTTTGCTATGTTTTCCACCGACAACAATAAGAAAATAGAGACAGAACTGAAAACTACTATTCCTACTTTAATCTCTACATTTACAAATAAATAACCACTGCAATTTGTTGACTATCCTTTCCAAAGATTTTCCACACGTATGCCAATTTGACTTACAGATACCAATATCAGAGTGAGCTTGGTGAGCCTACAGCAGAGGCCTGTGAAGACTTCTAATTTTCTTTCTTTCTTCTCTTTTTAACCTGTCATATAGTCTTCTTTCTCATCCTCTTCGAGTATTTTTTTTTGTTTTATAACACATATCAATCATTTTATTTTATAATGATCTCATATTTAACTGAAGTCAATATATTAATATTTAGTACATTGGAGGAGCAAAGTGTTAGCCTGGGAGAGGTATAGTTTGCTCCTTCACATTACAGGTCAACTTCTGTCACAAATTCTACTCATGATTTGTGAGTATTGGTTTTTGTTCACTTTTATGGAAAAGCAATAGTGCTGTACAAACACAGGACTTAGACTCTGAAATACGGACGACATTGTGGGTAGGGTGGGCATGATGACTATTGGCAACCAAAGCTGTTTTTAAACTCCTTTAGACATACTTGGAAAGAATGTAAATTTTGGCCCCATCTTCTGTTTTATTTCCACTTGATTTTGGTGTGTTTTGCAGCTGCTGAAGGAATGGTATGTAATCATCTGTGTTCAAATGATGGCTGTTGGGGACCTGGACCTGACCAGTGCCTGTCATGCCGCCGCTTCAGTCGGGGAAAGATCTGTATAGAGTCATGTAACCTCTATGATGGGTGAGTCGTCTCTCTCTCTCTCTCTCTTTTTTTTTTTTTTTTTTTGAGAGGTTTTTCCTGTAGGGCACATGCACTCACCAGAAAGACAGAGAGAGACAGAGAGCCAGAAAGCCACCCCCCGGGGGTATGGCCACACCACAATCCCCTCTCCTTCATTCTCTGGGGGTGATGCACACGCTCCTGGGGGTGAGTTTAAGTACCTGGGTCCGGGACTCGAACCGCAGTCGACTATGTGGGAGTCCAGCGACATAGTCATTATGCCAACTACTGACCCCAAGGATGAGTGGTCTTATAATCACCTTTACCTTATGAGCTAAGAAGTACTGATTAGCTCAGATTTAAAAACCATGAAAAAGAGGTAAAATCTTAGAAAGTATGTACAAGTCAAGATTTTCTGAAGGAATTTTGTTGTATGAAGGAGAAAACATAGAAAATGATTGTTTTAAGAGAAAATAATATTTGAAACAAGTCTCAATAGATGTATACACTTAAAAAAAAATGTATACCAAGGGTCAGCCCTGTGGTCTACTTGTTGAGGGAGCTGGATCCCAGATGGTTGACTATGGTTCAAGTCCCAGCCCAGTGACTTGAAAGACATACTGGGCATGTATGCATGTGAGTCCCGAATCCTGACAGAATGGAGAAACAGAGAAGGGATTGTGGCATAACAATTGTGGAGTGCTTTCTTCCTCTTTTTTTTTTTTTTCTGTCCTGTCTTTCTCTACTGAGTATATGCTCTCTTTATCAATTAAAAGAAAAGTATAAAAAATGTATATAAAATGTATACTATAAAAGTTTTTCATCAATTCTAGAGATAGAGTTTTAAACAAAAATTTAAAAATATATTCCAGTTTTTATGATGAGGGACATTGTTGTAAGTAATCTTTCATACCACCCTACAGTCTGTTTTGTTTTTCTCTTATATTTATTGTTAATTTTCATCTGGAGTTAAATGCACAATATTTGATTTCTTTCCTACTCACATTATACATCTGTTTGTGTTTTAGGACTGGCCCACATTTGTATGTCTTTGACAATTGCTTATTCCTAATGAAAAACAACCTTTGTAGTTTCTAGTTGAAGAGGTTTCTTTAAAGTATTCTGCCACTTTTTAGATAACCTAAGCAATATTTTAAATCAACTCTTTTAAATTCCCTTTGGTACGCATTGGCAGTAATAAAACCTAGTACATACCTCATTGCATGGCATTTCATATACTCATAGAATCATAAAGCGTTATCCTAATATGCCACTTTATGCAGTATAGTCATCCGTCATTAGGGTGATAATGCATTTTATTAATGTTGTCTCCAAGTTGGGTTTTCTTACATTGCTCACAGAAAATATTTTCAAGAGTTTTATAAAGTGTAGTTTTAAAGTTTTTCATTTTTTTTTCTTTTCTTACCTCATGAATTGTCCCATTTTAAAACTGTTTTCATGATGTCATCATAGTTTTACATTTTATACTAGTAGGATATAAAAAGTATGGGTCAGAATATCAACACGTCTCTTCTTTTAAAGCTCTGTAAAACCAATCCTTTCCATGAAACTTAGGGGAATAAAATTGAAGTTAGAAGTTTAGCATGAAAATAATTTCAATAACGATTAAATCAATGTTCAAGAAAACTTTAGCTAGTAATTGAATATATTACAATTGACTCACAGATTTGATCATGAATAGCAAGTTGTGTTCTGCTTATTTCACTGAATTGTATTCACGCCTGTTTCAAATGATTATGAAAGAATATTTTGGGTACATAAAATACCTTAGATTAAAATATCTTGATTTGTGTATGTAACAATTGATGTCATTAAAATAAAACATAGTAGGGACCAGTAGGTGGTGTGATGGTTAAGACACTGGACCTTCAACACAGCCAACCTCAGTTCAAGCCCTGAATTTGGCAGGTTGGCTCATGTGTACAAACCAAGAACCAGAGAGGAAAATGAAGAACAGGAGACTGCAGTGTGGTCATCTTCCCAGAGATTATTTCTCACTTTTGTGAGCTCTGTCTCTGGCAGGTGCACATACCCTATGGCAAAAACTTAAAAAAAAAATTAAATATATATAAAAAAGACTTTAAGTTAATTTTAAAAATGTTACATTAAAACCTTATTAAATATCATATATGTCCAGATCTAAGGAAGGGGTAGATTCCAGAAATCATTTTATCAAACATCAGCATCTTATAAACAATGAGAATGTATGTAATTAGGTATTGCCAAAAATCACAACACTGTGGAATAATTAAGTCAACACTGGAACTCATGCCATCTCATTTTCATTCTGCTTCCTTTTCAGATTTCATTGTTTTCTTTAATAGGTCAGTTTTAAATTTGTCATAAAAGAGATTGCAGAGTAGTCACCCTTGTCGGAGGTTGATTTCTCACTTTCCCTCTCACTGCTTCTCTCTGGCAAGTGCATGAGCCCTATGACCAAAACCTTTAAAAATAGTGAAATTGATAAATATGTGAATATGTACACCATTATGTGTCTCCTTTCTATAAAAAAAATGTAAGCCAAACAAAGGAAAAATACGTTTCCTAGATAAACACTTATTACCAGACTGTTTCTAATATTTAATATTTTTTGTATACATCATCATATCAAATCTGTTAAAGTTTTTAATGCATTTTGCATTAGTAATGGGGCCCAAGGAAATAATTTGTGAATAGTTACTCTGAAAAATAATAACTGTAAATATACTATAAAAGTATGATGCACTTCTTGCCAGCTTAATGATGGATTCTCCAAATCCTATCTGGCTTCTTCACCTCCTAGTTGGAATGTCCAACTTGGACAAAAAGTCTTCATATATGACTAAAGCTGTTTTTAAACTCCTTTAGACATACTTGGAAAGAATGTAAATTTTGGCCCCATCTTCTGTTTTATTTCCACTTGATTTTGGTGTGTTTTGCAGCTGCTGAAGGAATGGTATGTAATCATCTGTGTTCAAATGATGGCTGTTGGGGACCTGGACCTGACCAGTGCCTGTCATGCCGCCGCTTCAGTCGGGGAAAGATCTGTATAGAGTCATGTAACCTCTATGATGGGTGAGTCGTCTCTCTCTCTCTCTCTCTTTTTTTTTTTTTTTTTTTTTTGCGTCTGGCATGCATGCACACGCTCCTGGGGGTGAGTTTAAGTACCTGGGTCCGGGACTCGAACCGCAGTCGACTATGTGGGAGTCCAGCGACATAGTCATTATGCCAACTACTGACCCCAAGGATGAGTGGTCTTATAATCACCTTTACCTTATGAGCTAAGAAGTACTGATTAGCTCAGATTTAAAAACCATGAAAAAGAGGTAAAATCTTAGAAAGTATGTACAAGTCAAGATTTTCTGAAGGAATTTTGTTGTATGAAGGAGAAAACATAGAAAATGATTGTTTTAAGAGAAAATAATATTTGAAACAAGTCTCAATAGATGTATACACTTAAAAAAAAATGTATACCAAGGGTCAGCCCTGTGGTCTACTTGTTGAGGGAGCTGGATCCCAGATGGTTGACTATGGTTCAAGTCCCAGCCCAGTGACTTGAAAGACATACTGGGCATGTATGCATGTGAGTCCCGAATCCTGACAGAATGGAGAAACAGAGAAGGGATTGTGGCATAACAATTGTGGAGTGCTTTCTTCCTCTTTTTTTTTTTTTTCTGTCCTGTCTTTCTCTACTGAGTGTATGCTCTCTTTATCAATTAAAAGAAAAGTATAAAAAATGTATATAAAATGTATACTATAAAAGTTTTTCATCAATTCTAGAGATAGAGTTTTAAACAAAAATTTAAAAATATATTCCAGTTTTTATGATGAGGGACATTGTTGTAAGTAATCTTTCATACCACCCTACAGTCTGTTTTGTTTTTCTCTTATATTTATTGTTAATTTTCATCTGGAGTTAAATGCACAATATTTGATTTCTTTCCTACTCACATTATACATCTGTTTGTGTTTTAGGACTGGCCCACATTTGTATGTCTTTGACAATTGCTTATTCCTAATGAAAAACAACCTTTGTAGTTTCTAGTTGAAGAGGTTTCTTTAAAGTATTCTGCCACTTTTTAGATAACCTAAGCAATATTTTAAATCAACTCTTTTAAATTCCCTTTGGTACGCATTGGCAGTAATAAAACCTAGTACATACCTCATTGCATGGCATTTCATATACTCATAGAATCATAAAGCGTTATCCTAATATGCCACTTTATGCAGTATAGTCATCCGTCATTAGGGTGATAATGCATTTTATTAATGTTGTCTCCAAGTTGGGTTTTCTTACATTGCTCACAGAAAATATTTTCAAGAGTTTTATAAAGTGTAGTTTTAAAGTTTTTCATTTTTTTTTCTTTTCTTACCTCATGAATTGTCCCATTTTAAAACTGTTTTCATGATGTCATCATAGTTTTACATTTTATACTAGTAGGATTTAAAAAGTATGGGTCAGAATATCAACACGTCTCTTCTTTTAAAGCTCTGTAAAACCAATCCTTTCCATGAAACTTAGGGGAATAAAATTGAAGTTAGAAGTTTAGCATGAAAATAATTTCAATAACGATTAAATCAATGTTCAAGAAAACTTTAGCTAGTAATTGAATATATTACAATTGACTCACAGATTTGATCATGAATAGCAAGTTGTGTTCTGCTTATTTCACTGAATTGTATTCACGCCTGTTTCAAATGATTATGAAAGAATATTTTGGGTACATAAAATACCTTAGATTAAAATATCTTGATTTGTGTATGTAACAATTGATGTCATTAAAATAAAACATAGTAGGGACCAGTAGGTGGTGTGATGGTTAAGACACTGGACCTTCAACACAGCCAACCTCAGTTCAAGCCCTGAATTTGGCAGGTTGGCTCATGTGTACAAACCAAGAACCAGAGAGGAAAATGAAGAACAGGAGACTGCAGTGTGGTCATCTTCCCAGAGATTATTTCTCACTTTTGTGAGCTCTGTCTCTGGCAGGTGCACATACCCTATGGCAAAAACTTAAAAAAAAAATTAAATATATATAAAAAAGACTTTAAGTTAATTTTAAAAATGTTACATTAAAACCTTATTAAATATCATATATGTCCAGATCTAAGGAAGGGGTAGATTCCAGAAATCATTTTATCAAACATCAGCATCTTATAAACAATGAGAATGTATGTAATTAGGTATTGCCAAAAATCACAACACTGTGGAATAATTAAGTCAACACTGGAACTCATGCCATCTCATTTTCATTCTGCTTCCTTTTCAGATTTCATTGTTTTCTTTAATAGGTCAGTTTTAAATTTGTCATAAAAGAGATTGCAGAGTAGTCATCCTTGTCGGGGGTTGATTTCTCACTTTCCCTCTCACTGCTTCTCTCTGGCAAGTGCATGAGCCCTATGACCAAAACCTTTAAAAATAGTGAAATTGATAAATATGTGAATATGTACACCATTATGTGTCTCCTTTCTATAAAAAAAATGTAAGCCAAACAAAGGAAAAATACGTTTCCTAGATAAACACTTATTACCAGACTGTTTCTAATATTTAATATTTTTTGTATACATCATCATATCAAATCTGTTAAAGTTTTTAATGCATTTTGCATTAGTAATGGGGCCCAAGGAAATAATTTGTGAATAGTTACTCTGAAAAATAATAACTGTAAATATACTATAAAAGTATGATACACTTCTTGCCAGCTTAATGATGGATTCTCCAAATCCTATCTGGCTTCTTCACCTCCTAGTTGGAATGTCCAACTTGGACAAAAAGTCTTCATATATGACTATTAGGAATAATAATGGTGTCCCCCTTATATTAGTTATAATATCTGATGAGAACATTCTTTATAAGGTCTTCTTAGACTTTCTATGAGAATTGTTATCATTATTTTTATCTGTTAATCTAAGATAATTAAATGGTTAAATACAACAGTCATTTTAAAACTGCTGAAAATAACCAAATACAAATATGACACCCAAATATAGCATATGTATCTGTATGTGTGTACACCCACAATATGTTCATACAAATATACAATAATATAAAATGTACATATATTTTACACACATATATAAAAATTTGGCTTTTAAAAAATAAGAAATCCTAATGAGAGAACTTTTCTTTGCATATATAAAAATTTGGCTTTTATGAAATAAGAAATCCTAATGAGAGAACTTTTCTTTTGAATGGAAAAAAGCAAGTCAGTTTATTCCTGGCTGACTAGTATTCAAATCTAGGAACTACAAGTCACTGTAGTTCAGCATCTTTTACCTACAATGTCCAAAATAATCAAATGAAAGTGAAAGAAAAGTGAAATCTTAAACTTTTCTTGAATGAAACATGTTTAAACTCTTCTGAAATTTTAAGACCAACATGAAAACATCAAAGAGAATGCCCATCTAAGCTCTTCGTGGGAATTTTTATGTTTAATAATCTCAACCTTCCAATGAAATACTATTTTCCCTTTTACTGAGGATATTTAGGAAACTGAAGCTTAGAAAAGTTAAAACAGTTAAGGCAGTGAAATCTTTCTCTTGGTGCTGGGATTTAAATTGGGGGAAGAGCAGTTAAAACGTTCATTCATGATCACAGAATTGTCTAAGGTAACACCCATACGATAAAACTGAGATAAATGTATCACAGCATAATCAAGTAAAACTAAGCTTGGCAAGCAAAGTTCATCCTCAATCGACTGTAATTGTTAGGTCAGCTTCAAATGAAAGGGGGACTCTGGCAAAGTCATGGTAGAATCACTAAGGGAGAAGGAAGAGAAAGAACGATGATGGGGACAAGGACAGTAGGGCCAAAGTAGTAGTCGGGACTGCAAGGAGGACCTTTTCAGAGAGCAGACAGGTAGAGGACCAGAACGATACAAGTGGAAGCCTACACAAGAAAAGAGGATCGGTTATATTTGTGTGATTTTTCATGTTATGAATTTTAATCCTCAGTTCTGTGGGGGTGAGGGGGAGTGAGTTTTGAAGAGGTTAAAAAAAAATACATGACCTAGGTTTTAGTAGAGTAAGAATTATGACCTTACTTTAGTTCTATAACTCTTTAATAACAGAAGAAATTTTTATTGAATACAGATAGCTAGCTGAGGATCTAGGGTTTACTATGGTTGTCATATAACTTGACTCTACAGACAATACTTTTGATTCTCTTTACAATTTAATATGTTTCCCTATCTCAGGTCATTTTAACATTTATATTATAAAGATCTCCTCTGTTTAGTGCTTTATATTACTCGCATCAATGAAGTGTGAAAAAAACCCTCGTTTTCATATTACTGAAATTTTAAAGTCAAAATTCATAAAAAGTTTGAAATATAACAAACCAATATCTTACTTTAAAAATGCAACATCAATACTGTAGCTAAAAGTATGTACTCCATAACAAATTAAACCTTCTATTCCTGCTATTTTTTGGAAAGACCAAATTAATTATTTTGCCTTGGAGTAGATGAAGTTTTAATAAAACCAACAGAAAACAGATCTTGTCTTTTGGACTTCTGTTTTTTATTAAAGCTTTCTAGTACCCAAAAAGGAAAAAGTGAACATTTCTCTCTGGGGAAAGCAGGTTTGAATTTATCACCTAATTAATCCATAATTGTCTTATTTGTATTGCTGTTGGATTGGAATGGTAGTTAAGGATACAAAGGCACAAAATTAAAAAGTAGCTATAATTAGTAAAAGATTTCAATGACTCATAAGTGACATTCTCAATTGTCCTTACCCTGTACTTAATCCTCTTGTATATTAGTAAGAATACTGTATTTAAGCATATTATAGATGACTAATATCAGATTACTTAAATTAAAATTTTGGAAGTAGACATTAATTGGAAAATTTTACATTGGTAATATGTTATATACAAATAGCCACAAATATGTAATGATGTAGGATGGGATGACCATCATCCAAGGAGATTTCAATTAGAAAGTTTTAGGATGCTGCCATTAAACTGATTTTTTTAAAAAAATGTACCATATAGAATTACTTCAAAAAGAATTTAGACTGAAAAAAGATGTTGTGATATGAGATCAATAATCTAAGAAAATAAAATCTACCATAAAAAGATATTTTCTCTAATTCTCCAAGGCAGACATTTTAAAAGGAGAAAAGAAATCAAAGTGTTTTTTGAAGTTTCACCAAAAATAAATTGAAGAGTCTTGGGATTTGAAGGACAAGGATGGAGAACATTCATGTAACTTAGCAACAAGGAAAAAATATAATAGTTCTTTCAGAGTTTAGAAATTAAAGCTTCAGCAAAGAGTAAAATTTTATATAAAGCAAACAGACACAGCCTTTACACACAAAGGTAAAAATGGTTCTGCTGTGTCATCAGAGAAGTTACACTTTTTTTCTGGGACTACTAGAATCTCTCTCGCAGGAGAGAGGTTGACAGAATGTCTGTTGTTGAATGCAGTGGAGGGCAAGGAGAGACATCTGGCTGCAGTTTATCTTTTCTCCTAATGGAAAACTTACTCCTTAATGTACAGGGAAATGTTTCTGATGCTCCTGGCACATAGAGAAACAAACTCTAGAATTTACTCTGCCAATAGGACTTTCAGCAGATGTTACTTCATTTGTTAAGTTGACAGCTTGTTTGCTTACACCTCCTTATGCAGCTGATGTTTTCACAGTGAATTCCGGGAGTTTGAGAATGGCTCCATCTGTGTGGAATGTGATCCCCAGTGTGAGAAGATGGAAGATGGCCTCCTCACATGTCATGGACCGGTAAGCCTGAAGATACCTGTAGATGTGTTGGCTTATTTAGTATCATGTATGAATGTTTCTTATGTCATTATTTTATCATTTATCCATCCATTCAATAGTTCTTTATAGAATGCTTTAGAAAATCATGTTTGATATTCTGCACTCAAGAGCCTGACAGTTTAGTAGTATAAATATTTAAAAATTCAATAATAGCAATAGATATTTCCCAGGTAACATATATTAAAGAAAGTAAAATATGTGGAAATGTCCCAGAAGACTTCATAGTGTTGAAAAGAGAGATACATAAGTAACTAGATTGAAACACAATTATCAATGTAATATAGATGTATGCAGATCGTTACAGGAACACAAATAAAGGGGAAACAAATTCTGTCTTTAGGATGCAAGTTGAGGTACCGAGGAAGATCATAGAGAAGTGCTGTTTGAGTGATGTTTTAAAGAATCTGGAAAGAGGAAATGTGTAAAGACATGTGAAAGTTTATGTTGGGAAAAGTTAAGACATTTTAAATATCTGTGTTTAATCATTTAGCACTTATGGAAATGTGAAGGACATTGGAAATAACGAATGATAAATGTACTCATAAACTAAAATCTAAAGCAATGTGATCAATTCCATAGCATAGAGAGAAACTGAGCTAGAAGAATCTGAGGCGAGGCTGTAGGATCAATAAAGTCTTCATGGAGGAGGTGTCCTTTAATCAGTTGGGTGTTAGCCTTAGAGAAAGAACAATAATTATTTTTTAGACCTCCTTTTGGATTCCTTCATTAGGGCTTTTGATTAATAATGAAACCAGTATGAGTTTGTCATTCCAAAGTGTCATATTCATCCTTCTTTAGACAAATTTCCAGTTTATCTGTGTTATTGAGTCATTTCTCAGTAGATAATTTGGGGACCAACATTTGGGTATTGCCAAGAGGTCCACATAGCTCCATAATAACTCATTTGAAATTTTAAAAGTATTAATTTTTCTACTGGAGTGCTTATTCAACACTTAATTAGCTTAGAAGAAAATATCATTGAGCCCTCCAAACTTCCATTAGGCCCCAATGAGCTGTCTTGGAACTTCATCTAAAGAAGGATGTGGAACACTTGGACAGTTCAGAGGACTACCACAAGGATGATTAAGCTTGGAAAATCAGACCTCTGAGAAAAAGAAGTGGTGTTATTTGGCCTGAAGAAACAAAGTATTAATGGAAATTTAATGTGTAATGATCTCCAAGTAAGTATGCAAAGGGCATATAGAGCTATTTTCTTTCTCCAATATGGACAGTAATGGAAAATACAATTAATCCACAACAAGAGAAATGTGAATTTTGTAAGAAATGTCATGAAATATGGGAAATGAATTTATGTAATGGGTTGTTAAAGCAAGTTGAGCTATCTATAGAAGAGTCCTTTTAAAACTAACACATTTTGGTAACTTCCTGACTATAAGTCATAGGATGAAAAAAAAATCTCTTCAGAGATCTGAAACTTTGAAAATGTGCAATTATAATAATCAAGAATTTAGCTATGTCCTCTGAACAAGGCTGAGGATTATCATAAGTTTCTAGATTTAGTCACAGTGTTCACTGAACATAAGCTTACAGAACAGTTTTGTTTTTGTTTTTAATATGAATACCTGTCCCAAAGTACATAATGTTTCATTTGAGAACCACTATAGGTGCCACTGCACCAATATCTTGGTGAATTTCTGATTACTATTTTCTACATTAATGTTCGTCTTAACACATGTAATTTCCTTTTATTTGTTAGCCCTTGTATTATTTTCTAATTTATTTATTTCCTTCTTGAGTGAGACACGCACACACACACAGAAAGAGAGAGAGACAGAGAGAGCACACCTCCAACAGGGTCCTGAAGCACAACCCACCCGCAGACTCAGCCTCCTTAGGAACATGGACCCACATGTACCTGGCACACTCAAGGAGGGCTTTGAGAAACCAGAACCTTCCCATGTGGATCAGCCTTGTGTTGAGCTTTAGCTTGTGCCACTGTCCTGCATCACCTCTTTTATTCTGAACAAACCTCTGGAACATTCTTTGGCTTTATTTAACAAATATTGTTTAGTCCCTACTTTATGCCAGGCTCTGTCAGCACACCTAGTTGCTGAATTTTTACAAATTAATGTAGCCACTAAAAAAATGCTGCTCAACAGTATTTCTCTGATTCGTTCCATGAAACAGCAATAATGTGCTGCTCAGGAGAAGCTAGATCCCACATGACTTCTGGGCCAGGATAACAGAATACATTATGTGTGAAGTGCCCAGGATCCAAAAGTCTGGAGGAAGGGGATCTCAGCATGACCAGTCCCTAAGAAGAGTGGTCTTCTCTGTCACTCTCGCAAGCACATGCATGCACTCTATCACAAATAAAGAAAAAAATGAAAAATGTATATGTATTTATTTTCCTCAAAAACCACTGTGGTGACATCCTTTGTTTCCACATTTTGATTTTTTTTACATAGTCTTTCTGCATAAACTACATTGAGTATATTAAAAATAAATTAATGATATTTTGATCTTTCTTGTCATTTTTATTTTAAAAAATAAAATCTTATTAATTAATACTTTTGGTTCCACTATTCCTATTATTTGAAAATTATTTTTCTGGGGCCAGATTTGGTACCATGCAGATAGTGTGGTGGTTATGGCATTGGACTCTCTCACATACAGTGGTTCGAGTCCCAGACACGGCAACTTGAAAATTATAACAGGTGTGTTTGTGTGTGTGTGTGTGTGTGTGTGTGTGTGCATTCCCGAAATCCCAGGAGGAAGATGGAGGAGAAGGAATTATGGCGACTGACAATTCTGCAGCAAACCCCAGGGGTGATTTCTTACTTTCTCTCTCACTGTCTCTGTCTCTCTCATGAGTGAACACAACCTATGGTCAAAACCTTAAAAAAAAGCTTATATAGTTATTATATCAGATTAATAAAGATTGTTTTGCGTAATAAACAACTCCTATATTACAATAGCTAACAGAAAAAGTTTATGTCTTTTTCATGTAAAGTGCACTGCATGCCTGGAAAAATTTCCAAGGCAAATCGTCCTGTGATAGCTGAGTATTCCAGGAAGCTCTGCATTTATGACACTCCACTTCTACATGGGATACCTGAATCATGACAGCAGGGAGAGAGAAAGTTAGAGAATTTAGAACTGGTCATCTTATGCATTACTTCTACCTACATCTCATTGTCTGAAATAAGCCAGGCCTTTCCTCTACTGGAATTGTAGAGAACTGAATACTAATGAATAGTAGCTCTGTTTTTTTACAGTAATACCAGAGAAAAACATCAATTGTCATCAACTGAGGGAAAAAAATGCAATTTTTCTGTCAGGATTTAGTCTTTCCTTTAGTTGTCCGGCTAAATTATTGAGTCCAGAGATAGCTTAGAACCAAGGTTAAAAAAATATTGCCTTCAACTCGGTTTTCTATGATTTCATTTGTCAATTAATTCACTGCACCCAGGTTCTTAAAAGCTTTGGGAATACAATGATAGCATATGTATTTCTCTAAATCTCTTCATTATGGAAATAAGGTGGAAAATGAATACATTTCCTTTCTTTTAAGATTTGTCACGATTTTTTTTTTAGTTACATCAGCATAAGACTTTAGGTTTTGTAATGATAAGACAATCAAATAGTTAAGAAATACTTTTAAAAAGGAATTACAAAATAAATTATTTTACTAAAAGGTAAAGATTAAATAAGAACTTAATTTTTGTTTCATGACTGTTTATACCTTCTTATTTCATTTGAGCACAATTTTATATTGTAAGAACTTAATAGAAAAATAATTCCTAATTCCTAATTCAGACTATGAGTGTCTAATTTACTCATAGTAAGTCTTATTCTGTGTTCTGCAAGACACCAGCCTGTCTCTTGTCTTGTACAATAAGTAATGCCACGGAGCATACTTACACAGTAAATGATTCTGTATAATAGACAGTGTTACGTGCCTAAGTACCCATGAGCAGGTGTTAAAATTGGAAGCATGTGAAGTATTCTTTTTTGGAAGGAATAAGAAGTTACATTAGCAAACTCTTCAGGTAGAATAGGGATTAGGTTTCATGGGCTAATTTTTTTTTTTCTTTGAGACTCAAATAGTGCAATAGACAGGTGCTTGATTAAACCTCACTAGTTTCAGGATTTTCAAAATCCTTCTTTTGATTACTTTTTTTCCTTTATATTATAATTCTTCATTAGCACTCTCCCTCTTTAAATTTATAATGCGACATATCTTGATTTTCTTTCTTTCTTTTTGTAAAGCTCATTTGTTTATCCCTTCCATGAGTGAGAGAGGCAAAGACCCAGCATCCCTGACAGGTTCTTGATGCTGCTATCAACCCCTGGCCTTTGCCACCCACCATGTACCCTTTAGTCAGCCCTGGATCACGGGTACGTGTGGACCTGATGTACGCAAGGTGGTCTCCAGATGTGAACTGGAACCATCCCAAGTGGCTCAGCTTTGCAGAGCATTGTGCTTTACTACTGTGCCACCATCGAGCTCCATGTATTTCTTGATTTTCTAATGCCTTCTAGCACCATCTTGCAAATGTGGTTGCTTTTGGATGAACATTTTGGATTCACACAGTACTTCATAATAAACAGTTCTGTATCACTTTGTGCTAACTCTTGACTCTTGAATTCACTTTACTTACAATGATAAATCCCATAACAATTTCTTCCTGTTTACAAACTATATCTTGATTATTTGAGATATCTTTGAATGTGGACAGTCGTAATAGTCAAACCTTACAGACATAGAGAGACGTTGGGAAAAATAGGTCAGACAGGAGTTTCAGGAAGGAGTGGTGAAAGAGACGAGGAATTCTAAGACAATATGACATCAGAATAGGAGAGGTAAAGCTATATTCCAAGTGGGTGATATTCAGAAGAGTGGAATGTGTGACAATATGGGCAACTCTAAGAAAAATAGCACTTTTATCAAAATGTTCTAGTATTTTTTTTTTATCTGAGGATATATGCAAGAGCTTTAAAAAGTTCATGGACAAAAGACTTAATGTCTGAATTTATTTTAGTACCAAAAAGATGAAATCCAGGCATGTTTTTTTTTTCACAGTGTATATTTTCCATGAGCTTTTGAAGACCCCTGTATGGCTTATTTCTTGCGTGCTTACTAGCTATTACACTAGATTTTATTTGTTTTGTTTTTGTTATTGAGCTCATACTCTTGTCAGAGAGAGACAGAGAGAGAGAAGTAAAGGGTGAAATCACTCCCCAGGGCATATTTCTGCACCACAATCTATTCTCCTCTTGAAATTTTGGGCACACATGTAAACTCAGGTACTGGCCTGATTTTCAAGCCCCTGGGTCCAGGACTCAAACCACAGAGTTGGCTATGTGAGAATTTGGCATCGAGCTGCCTTAACCTGTATGTCACCTGCTGGCCTATCTACTGCACCAGATTTAATTCAGTTTTTATGTTGCAGAAATCTTAGTTTGTTATTTTTATGAGAGATTTTTGCCATAGGCATGTGCACTTGCTGAAGAGACAGAGACACTAAGAGCACAAAATCACCCCCCAGGGGAGGATGGCTATGCCACAATCTTTCCTCCTCCATTCTCCTCTCAGAAGTCTGGGCACATATGCCTGGTGTGAGTTTCGAGCCTCCAGGTCTAGGACTTGAAGTGTGGTTGGCTATGTAGGAGTCTAGTAATGTAACCACTATGCCATCTGCTGGTCCCAGATTTTTAATATTAGTTTAAATGTTATGACTTAAATATATGTTTATACTGTTATTGTTTATCAAAACCCTACCTATTAGGAGATGAATGTGTATTATAAGCATAAATATATGAAGTGAGCTAGTTCCCTTTAATAATTTTTAACATTTTCACATGCTGTTTGTAGATGAAGAATTATCCAAGAATGACTCTTATTTGCTAAATTTCTAATAATTTCTGATAATTCAATCATAGTGAATTCAAAATTGTTTTCAGTAAAGTCATTTTATTGTATAGCCAATGTAAAGTTTACATCCCACTCTTACATAAAATTCAGTGTTACCTAAGCTCTATTATATCCTTCTACTCAATAACTATTTAGTAATAGTATTCACATATTTCTAATAGTTGTGGAAAACTACCCCCAGAGAAATGTGTTATGACTGAATATTGTTATACTGTAATATCACCAGGAATAAACCACCAGAAAAAAATAACTTATATCATTTCGAAAAAGTCTTTGGACAGTTTTACTGATCGCATTAGAGAGATGACATGGAAATCAGTTGACTGGAAAATTGCTGATTTCAAAAAGGGAAATATTTCAAGAACGAATATGTTATAATGTTTTCACACATACAGGGCATCAAAGTTGAACTGGAGGGGTCTCCTTGGTACTGTTTGACTGTATTGGCTACATCCACATTTGTCCTTCTTGAAATGCTTTCCATTTCCCTTGAGGAAGAAACCAAACCACATGAGCACATTTCAAAGAAAATGGCACCCCATTTGCTTCATCCATATTTTCTTTTTCACGTTTCAGGGACCTGACAACTGTACAAAGTGCTCTCATTTTAAGGATGGCCCGAATTGTGTGGAAAAGTGTCCAGATGGCTTACAGGGAGCAAACAGTTTCATTTTCAAGTATGCGGATCAGGATCGGGAGTGTCACCCATGCCATCCGAACTGCACCCAAGGGTAAGCATCTCTGCTGGCCAGGCAGTCTACCTTGTAGGTGTTGCTAGGTGAAAGGTACATAAATGGATCTTTAGCCCTGACACTGTCTCCTAAATGTAGAATTTCCTCATAGAACTCTTACAATTAAAAGAAAGAAAGAGTGGCTTAAGGGGGAGAATTTATACCATCTGAAACATTTCACCTTTCATTTAGCTGTAATGGAATGATGCGAGTGTCAGGTATACTCTGGTTTCAGAGTAGAAATTCTTTCAAAGTTTATAAGATATCAAAAAAGATAATAATCATACTTTTGAGAACTGTGTCTATTAAATCTTAAACAGAGGCCTTCTGTTTCTTTGTTGTCACAAGCACCTTAAAGTAAGGATATATCTCTTTGATTAAGATCTCTCTTTGATAAATACTAGTTAATGATGGCAGGAAAAAAATAGGGGAACCTAGTGATATGTATATTATTAACAGGACTAGTATGTTTTGAGAAAGTTATTTTGTTACAGGTTATACTATAACCTAGAATATCCCTGACTGATACAGGATGGTTCAAAGACTGATACATGTTTTTTTCTATTTTTCAAAAGAATGCATTGTGCAATGAATTATAATTAGATTACCTACGATATTGATAACATTTGAATAACAAAGACACATTACAGAAGGAATAAAACTACTGAACTATATAAAAAATAATGTCAGTCATCCAACAAGTTCCAACAATTATTTCTCAAAAGAGAGCAGAGCTATTTTAAAAAGGATTTTCTTTTTTCTTTCCTCCAGAGGGTGAATCTTTTTAGAATTGAGAACAGTTTCACTAGCACTATCCTCTTCCTGTCTATAAAATTTCTTCCCCGTTGTGAGTGCCCACGGGCCTGTGCGCATACACACGGAAACACGCACAGACTTCTTGTTTAGAATCATTTTGGGTGCTTTGTATCTGGCAGGGAAGTATGAGATTCCATAAAGAGATTTTCTGCCAGATTAAGGACAGGTTGTTAGGGGATATCGAAGAAGTTAAGCACGCAACATCATTTTCTGCCAAGAAAACATCAATTTGCCGATGCTGCTACAATTTCCTGGAGGTCAGGAAATCAGCTTAAGTCTCTCTCTGAAGTGGCAGATCCTCAGAAAGTAAGGTAAAATTCTGCCATTCAAATTCAAATTCAAATTCAGTTCAGAAAAGCTAACTGGCAACTCATTAGTTTACACACAAGCACGTGATACCGAAATAGTCACACAGACACTGCTTCAAGGAAACTAGAAGTAATAAACTGCTCTGCTTGTGAGGTTTTGGCATACTTGAGTTAAAGAGTATTTCATGAAAGAACAACGGGCGCTGCTGGAGCAGAAGAAAGAGTCTGCGACAGGAAGAGAAAACTTTGCCTGTTCAAATCATCCACAAGAGGGTTTTATTGTTTTGCAGCTAAAATTAAACCAGTAAATTATTCAATATAATGTTGATGTCAACAGCTGTTGCCATTCAAAATGAGACCTTTTGCTGTTTTTGCAAATCTAATTACAACGAAGCCATTAGGGAAATGAAAGTGAGATCACAGAGCCCCAGTCTGGATGTGTGACTCCTGTGCCTTCCCCTCAGCCCTTTTAAATCATGATTTTATAATAAAAGAAAATACATATAGTAAGGGCAAATAGCAGTAGGGGTAACGAAAAGAGAGCAGTTTACCATAGCAACAAGCTGTAGATCTCAACCAAGAGAAAGGACTAAGGTGTAAGGAAGAAATCTCGCCAGATCCTTTGAGAACTCCAAGTAAATAGGAAGAAAATGCCATTAGCACCTCAGGACTGCAGAATTATGGTGAGACAGATTTGAATATTTTGCTACCCAGAATCTTCCAAGGTAAATGTATTCTCAAATGACTGACAGTCCTGTAGGATTTTTCATTTTGTTTCCATCTAGCTTCCTGTCATCTTTTATCTTTAAGGATTATTTAACTGTATTTATTATTATATTTTTATTTTTTAATTTGCTATAGGGCACATGTACTCACCAGAGAGAGCAAGAGAGAAGGTGGGAAAGCAAGTCGCCAGGTCCAGGACTCAAACATCTGTCATTCTTGTAGAAGTCTAGCATCTTAACCACCAAACACCTGCCTCCATATTGTCCAAGGTCGCTCACGTCATCAAAGGGCTGTGTTTCCAGCACCAAAAGAGAGTTCAGGAATTCCCCAAGAGTGGAACTCCTAAATTCCCTAATCCCCATAAGCACTGTATTGCTTCAAAACCACTGCGCATTGAGATCCTTTCCTGAAGAGCTGAGATGACTCTTTGTCCAGATTGACCATAGAAGTAGGATCTTTTTCTAGAAAGATCATAGAGGCAATAGAAATGATGGTAGCCAGTAAATATTTTTATTTTTAACAGATGCAATAACTGACTGATCAGTAAATGTGAGCTCAACTAGGCAGCTCTACTTTAGAAAACAGGTTTTCTTTTATATGCCAATATTATATCAGATAATGCAAGAACAAAGTTAATTAAAATAGTCTTTCAAATCGCATTTTTAGAAGTAAAGTTCTTACTTTGAATTCTGTTGTAATGGTTTTCTGAAAATAAAATTATCTATGTAATCTCTTAAAAGCACTTTTACTGTTTTACCAGTACATTACATATACCGGCACTAATAAGACCTTCAGATACTTTTGAAATATGTTATCTATTTAGTCTCTGTCAGGAGATTCTCACTAATATTCCTAGAGGAAAACAAAAACAACAGTATTGTCTCTCCTTGCCCTGACTAGAACACTCTTATTTTAGCCCCCTCTTCTTGTTGATTCATTTTTAAACTTTGTTAAATTGGATCTGCATCAGGTACAATGATAGGCAAGTTCAGTAATGAGCTTTTGACCTCTGCAAACTCACAGTCTAATGAATTTGTATTTTTTAATTTATCTCCTCTATAAAAGACCAGACCCTTCAGAGTATTTAGAAATTATAAACCAGAATTTAAACCTTAGAAATGACATTCATATTTGAAATGACCAAGATAGGATTTTTAAATGACTTAAAAATTAGATTTACTATATAGCTAAATGGCAGTGAGGGCAAGAATTATAGTTTTCTCCCTAACATCACTTAAGTCCATACTAATTTGCCAATTTAATGTTGGTTTTGCTTCTAAATGAACCTGCATTTTAGGCAAGGGCTGGGATATTTATTTCATGTGGTATCTTTTATAAATCTCTTTAAATATTTTTGTTAGTGGAACAATCATGATCCCATATTATTAAATTTCACATGTGGCTTAAAACTTTCTTTAATCCTTTTATATATATTTTATTGCAACATTGTTTTTCAGATTAATTTCACATTTTACATAAAATCCCCATCATGATTTATATTGAATACAATATATATTTTTCAACAGAGAACTTTACATTTTTTTGTTTGTTCAATGGTTCTTCCCTCTGCACCTCACACCCACCCTCAACAACCAATTCTATACAATCCATTCCCCTTTCTTACAGTCTCTGGTATCTAAACTTAGCCTCTACTATTATATCTTTAGATCTTTCCATTTCTACCATAGAATATAGATATTTAGTATATATGGAGTGGGGATATGTAGTGTATATCTTCAAAGTCTGCTTCAATTTATTCAATATTAAGTCTTTTTAAGTCATTTATTTTGAATTGAATGATAGGATCTCATTGTTTTTATAGCTGAGTACTATTCCACAGTATATGTGTGTCACAGTTTTCAATACATTCATCAGTTTCAGGACACTTAAGTTGATAACAGGTCTTAGCAATTATGAATAATGCTGCCAAAAGATAGATGTGCAAGTGTCTTTTAAACTGAGTGTTTTCCTATCATTTGGGTAAATATCACGGAGTAGTATCACTGGGCTATATGATAGTTCTATTTAAAGGTTTTGAGGAACACAGATAAAGTGTTCCACAGAGGTTGTAATAATTTACCTCTCCATCGACAGTGTAGAAGGGCTTCCTTCTCACCACAGACTCACCAGCTCTTGTCATAATATGTATTTTTTTGATCCTAGCCATTCTAACTAGGGTTAAATGGTCTTTCATTTTGGTCTTAAATTGCATTTCCCTTATGTTAAGAGACTTTGAATGTTGTTTCATATGCCTTTGGCCACTCATAAGTCTTCTTTGAAGACTTATTTATTCAACTTATTTGCCCACTTTTAATTGGATTTTTTAATGGGTAAGTTTCTTGAATTCACTCTATGTCCTGGATATCAATTTTTTGTCTGAGGAATAATTTGGAAATATTTTTTCTCACTCTTATGGTTGTCTTTTCATTCTAATTATTGATTCCTTTGTTGTGAGGAAGCCTTTTAGCTTGATGTAATCCCACTTGTCTATTTTGGGGATTATTGCTTGTACTTCAGGGGTCTTATTTTAAAAATCTTTGCCTGTTCAAGTGTCCTCCAGAATGTTCCCAAAAAGTTTTCTACTAGTAGTTTTATGGTTTATAGTTTTAAGTTATTACATTTAAATCTTTGGTCCATTTTCATTAGATTTTTGTTGATGGTTAGAGATAGAAGTGGAGTTTCATTTTTCTGCAGGTGGGTATCATACTTTCAGCACCATTTGCTGACAAGACTTTCTTTTTCCCACTTCATTGTCGTGTACACTTGATCAAAGATCTGTTGGTTTTATGATTTGAGACTCATTTATGGATTTTCTATTCTCTTTCATTGGTCTATATGTCTATTTTTGTGCCAGTACCATGCTGGTGTCACCACAAAGTGGTGTCACCACTTTCTAATAAATTTTGAATTTGTGTAATGAGATGCCTCCTCTTTTATTCTTTTTGCACAATATTGGCTTGATGATATGGGGCCTTTTATTGTGGGGACACATTTAGAGAGAGAACTTGAGGTGTGGAAATATGCTTTGAGTAAACACTATTTGTTTTGGAGGGCTTTGGCAGAACTTTATAACTTGTCTTTTTGACTCTTGTTGTAGACAGAGCAAAGGGTAGAAATTGTTAGGTGCATTTTAATAGACACATTTGATGG